ATCCTCATTGACAGCGCCTGTATACCCCGTTGATGGTGGGACATTGATTGTCCGTGCACTGTATGAATATGGTAGATGCACATCCTCAGTAACACCGCTTACAGACGCCGCTGATGGTGGGACATTGCCTGTCCGCGCACTGTATGAATATGGTAGATGCACAACCTCAGTGACACCGCTTGCTGACGCCGTTGATGGTAGAGCATTTCCTGTCCGTGCACTGTATGAATATGGTAGATGCACATCCTCAGTAGCACCGCTTACAGATGCCGCAGATAGTGGGACATTGCCTGTCTGTTCACTGAATGAATATGGGAGATGCACATCCTCAGCAGCACCGTTTACAGACGCAGTTGATGGTACAGCATTTCCATTCCCTGCACTGTAGGAATATGGTGGAGGTCTCTCATGCTCCCTTGCTTCTTTCTGTTAAAAACGGTTTCAGATATTTGAATATAATCAAGGTTGACTTGAAAAAAGGGAGGGAAACGTACTAGTTGAGACGTGGTGGACGGGGAGAAACTTAGTTCCATTACGTACAATACAAACTTCCAACGCGGCTAAGTGATAGTACATATGAGATACCATCCAAAAATAATGTTCAAAGTATTGAGTCGGTCGATGAAATTTACACAAAACTATTGTAATCATTGACGGTACTTTCGTTACATAATTGTTTTTTGCTAGCTAGAAGCAATAGCTACCAGTGGAGGTAAGAAGACTGTTTGCTGTCCTGCAGCAAAAAGGTAAAAATGAGAAGTACTTGCTATGGCACCACTTGGTTGAATAACTACAACGCCAGCTTGGCCTCCTGGGTAGATTTGTTGAGGAGGAATACACATAACTTGCTGAGAGGCAACCTAAAATGTTAACAGAATTATCCCTTTTTAAAATCTTAATGACTTTTCCCCCAAATCGTTTAAATCACACATTAAAATTCAAAAGGAACCGCACCCGATACCAACACAGAGGCATCGATATCAATGGTACTCTTCTGTGACTTGTTAACCTGAGATCAGGCTCTATTTTCCTTTTGCTTTGAAAATTGCATTCCGGCGGGCAAGGCGAAACGAAACGCTTAAATTGGGCCTGATCTCAGGTTAGTGACTTGTCAAGATAACGGGCACGATCAAGCAACGAACGGCTTCCATGCACATTAATTCTGAACACGTCAGCTTCGAGCCAGTAATTAGTTCTAAAGATAGCCGCTCCCAATTGTATTTTAATTCCGTGTCCGACCTATGAATTCATGATGACAGAAAGCCTTATTCGAATGAAATCAATGGGTAGGAAAGGGCTACACAAAGGCACCACAGTTCACGACAAGTACCTCGCCGCATGTTATGGAATGTGGACTCCGGAATTCGGGAATTTTTTGCTTCTGGAATCCGAAATCTAGGAAAAATTTTGCTTATGGAATCCCGAATCCTGGGCTTTGTTTTCCAAAATACAGCTCACGGAATCCGGAATCCCACCAACGATCTGGAATACAGAATCCAACTTCCCCCGACAAAGACACGGATCTAATACCTGTAACCCGGCATCCGAGGTGTGGAATTCAGAATCCAAGACTGTCTTGGATTCCCTTATACGGGGCGAAGTAACGAATACCATGATAGAGAAAATCAAATGAGAATCATTATATGCTACTTACTCTGCCTATAGGAGGAACTCCACAGCACACTGCTTTGCAGCAGTAGATGGATGAAGCAAGGGCAACAAAGAAAACCACCACGGAAAAGGTCAGTTGACAAGATCCCACCTCTAAACCAAATGAGGCTTTATTTCGTTCAGAACGTGAGTAACAGTACGTGTCAAGACTCCACCAAAAATTATCAGCCCTGCAATGAGTAATGTGGGAAAGCTCTTGAAGAGTAACGCAGTAGCAGATGAACATGATTCCAGCAATGATACAAGCAGTGATGGAGAATCCCATAAAACATCCAATCTGTGGACAGATGCAAAAATGACTATTAATAAAGATCACCTGATAATTTATTGCTACCCTTCAAATTCGTTTGCTGTGCCACTCTGGTCGCGAATTAAATAAAACTGCCAGTTTAATAGATGGCAAAGGGCAAGTTCAAATTTTAAGAATTATCGCAAATTGTAATTACCAAATTAATTTTGCCATATAAACGGAAAATATTACGTAGCGTATGCGCTGGTGAACAGGATTTTTATTTAAATGGCCACACAATAACGCAACAGAATATTTCGTGTCTTCATACTCAAAGGTTAGAACTATATAGATTTAATAGAAAAGGAGTACCATAAATGTAAACAAGGCAGTTCTTAAATGTGAAGAACATTATCACAGTTGTGGACGCAATTTTGGCAACTGCGAAAAGAAACTCTAAAAAAAAGGCTAGCACAGGAGTTGCACCCACCAGCGCCGTGACCCCTGTAATACCGGTGCAGCGCTCTACCTCTTGAGTTAACAAACCAACTGGGAGCATCATCACTGTTGGGATCAAAGCCAGGGCTACCACGCAGATAAACAGGCAGCGGTGATTCTTAGGCTTTCTGGGGTTAGGTTTTGTACATTCAAAACAAGATCTGCTGAAATAATAGAAAGGATACTAACCATGCATTTATTTGGGATTGTAACATCTTTTGCACCAATGCACCCTAACAATCCACTGATCAGCACCTAACAGCTTACAATACGACGCACATGACACAACTTGGAATCAGCAAGATTGTTCATTAATATTTCGGAGGTAAAAAAATCGATACATTGTTGGAAATGGAAAATTTTTAATAGATAATGATCTTAATAAAAGAAGCTTTCCAAATTGTGGAATTAAAGATTAATTTCGGAGTCGTTTATCAGTCTGAAAAGCAGTGCTGTTGACACCTGTCCCCTGAGTGTCTGCCTCGAGCATTATCACAGCCGATAGCAGTATCGTATATTTTAGACCCCCAGTCATAAGACAGAAGCCGCTCTAAGCCGATTAAGCCAGAAATAATGAATATATGAATAATATGTTTTTGAACAGCGAAATGAAGAAATAAATGAAGGTTTAATTTCCCAAATGCATAAGTTGCGTACTTAAATGTGATGATCTTGTCTGCATTCTTTTAAATTTTCATTTGACTTTTGTCCGGGGGGGAAGGTATGGGTTAATTGGTGGGGGGAGTTAAGGAGGCGGGGACTATAGTAATTTGGTTTCGGTGAGAATTTGTTTTTCTCCCAACCTCTGGTGATAGATCGATTTTTTTCCCCGCCATACAATGTAACGGTGGAAGATTTTTTTCCAGGATTATAAGCCATGAAAGTGTAGGAAATTTTTTCCCCAAGGTATTTCCTTGCAAGAATTTTTTTCCCTCGAAATCAGTCGGCAGGATATTTTTTTCTACAATTAACCGCATACTCCCCTCAAAAGTAAAATGGTCGGCCCCGAGTAGTTAATAAAACCAAATTCTCGTTTTTACCTTCAATTCAAATCAAATTCATATTTTCCCTTTGTACGTGAAATTTGCGTAAATTTACCTTACACCAGTAAAAAAACGTGCAAACAGGAAGTCCGCGTACGCGTTTACGCACGTACAGTTCATTTACTTCCGCTTTAAATTTTTACATACGTTGGTGTTCATTTAGTGCTATTCCACTGTTAACACCATCCTTTCCAACCAGAAGATACTCCCAAGAAGACTTAATTTATCGAGTAAATGTTTCTTTCGTCTGAAAAATTGAAGTGGTGAAAGCAAAGACGTCACCGAAGAGTTGCCATGGAAACTCTACTTAAATAAAGTCTTGCCGTGCACAAATTCACCTTCAGATGCGAGCCACCTAAAAACCAAGCTTGATGATAGAGGCAAGGTGAAAATCCCTGCTTTTCAAACTTACAAACTAAATTCATGTTTCACAAATTACCTATAGTGGGAGTTGATGTGCCTCTTATAGCTGTCAAACACGAGCCAGCTCTTCGTCGGACCGAAGGAGTAGCGCTTTAAAGGTCACCTTTTAGATATTATTACTGAGTTGATTAAGTCTATTTACCATACGGTATTTTTCACTTTTTGTCAACGCAACAGCATTGTTTTTTTTTGCCGAAAACTAAACCTTTTATTTATTTGTTTCCAGTATAGAATGTTCAGAAAGAGTTCTGAAATTCATGTTCACTTACTCAAAACGTGAGTCTTACAAACAACAAGTGAAGAATCACTCTTGTGAATAGCATATTTTATCATAGATCTGTCCCATGAATTTAATGAAAAACGTGACGCAAAAGTAAGCTTAAATATGAGGTACTTACTAGATTTTACTCTTGATACAATTAAATCCTAGAGAGTTAATAATTTTACTCACCCAAATGCCAACCCATATTCCAAAACCAGCCTTAGTAGACCAGTGATCTATAGCTCCTTAAATGCTTGTTATACCGGCTACTATCATTGAAGAACCAAATATCATCTGAGTGAAGGCTAAACCTCTTAGAACTCGTGCTCGATAAACCATGATTGCAGAGATCAAAATGACGATCGATCACCAAGATTTTTAAAAAAACAAACTTACCTCGGGAATTATATTGACGTCAAAATTTCAAGAGGGTATAACAATAAGTAGCGGTTTGGTGGGTTATTGATGATATATTGATCCTCCAATTTGTTTCCAATTTGCCGGCCTCAGACAGGATTTGTTTGCTCATCCAGCTAACCCCACTACATTCGACCCTCTATTAGCCACCACTCTTAAGCGACCAGTTCTAGTCACGACAAGCTTTGAACTAAGACGAGACCCCGCTGTAACTCAGTAGTTTAAGCTTTCTCAAAATAAAAGGTTCTTTTAGTAAATAAATAAATAAAGTGTCTTTATTGTTCAAAAGATAAAATTACATATCTTACGTTACATTTAAATATAACAATGTTAATAGACTAAAGTATGTCTCTAAATAAGATTAGTATATGCATTGAAACAAATACAAAAATCGAATACAGAAAGTACACTATTTACAAAGCTACATATACTTAAGAGCGACTCCAGTAGTGCATATGGCTACAAATGGTCCTAACCAATCAGAGCGCAGCAAAATTTCTCTCGACCAATCAGAATCGCGCATTTCACCCATGTGACTGATTGACGTCACAAATACCCATATATGGGCATGGTTTGACACGTGACCCCATGGAATAAAGAACACACGCACACAAGAGTTGAATCTGCATTCTTGGCATAGTTTTTAATGACCGCGTAAAGCCCTGGGTACAAGCGGGACGTGTGTGACGCCCTAATGACGTCACGCCCATTTTTACAAATCTAATAGCAGGTCGAGTTCATCCCCAATCCTCTCGTAGCCATAGGGATAACTGGATCGAGTGGCGACGTCAATGACGCGCTTGTCAAACACCAACCCATACTGCTTCACGCGCGGAACCACTTGAATTTGTTTTTCCTCTAAATCTCGTTGGAAATAATAGGGGATGGTAATGTCTAAATTTCGGCGAGAGTCCTGAGGCGAATCTAGTTCAGAAACAATGTTCTCTTTCATGGTGTGAAAATTGAGAATGGCGGATCCACGGACGTTGAGGGTGAAACCGCGTACCTTGCACACTATTTTGCCACTACGGGTCTGGTACCCATAATTCTTGGCGCCCCCCGAAACAAACTCGGTGATGACGTCTCCATCCAATTCGTCGGTCATGTCCCCGAGAAAATCTCCAGTAGCAATACTGGGTTGACCGGGACGCCACTTGTACACCACGCTGTCTGTATCGTAGTAGAGGACTTGCTGTTGAAGGGTGTCCAGGGACTCGTAGAGCTTTAATCGAGCATGACAGGTGGTGAAAGCGGCTATGAAAATATTGGTCTTGGTGCCTTTGACAGCATTGTCTTGGACACTAGTGTAGACCGCTTCCAAAATGTCGTCCGTGCAAAGGCGGAGCGTGCTGAGATCGAGGGAAGCATCAGAGATGAGACCGAACAAATGGGCGGGGTCTTTGACAGTGACGGTGGTGGGTTTGTTGATTCGCTCCCCAAATTTGCCCCAGAAACTGTTCAGCATGAGCTTGGCGGTGGCCTTGCGACCGGGATTTTTGGCAATGCTGGCAATGTCCAGTCGGATGCCCTCCCGTTCCTGGTAACGAAGAATGTAGTTGCGTTTTTGCTCGAGGGTCTGACACCAACCGGGCCACCCTGCGGATTCTTGTTTGATCTTGAGCCACGTATTTACGTAATCAGCAAAAAGACCCGTTTGGCGTTGCTCGGGAGGGAAATGCCAGACTTCGTGGATCTTGATCAGCGTGTACCCCTTTTCGACGGCTTTGACCAATTCGGGTGTACACCAGGTGCCGCGTAGCGTGCGATCCGCATCGGAATGGGGGCAATAGCGGGTTCGGGTCAACATGGGTTGGGCTTGTTCGGTCTGGACACAGGCACGGCAGAGAGGAAAGGTGAGCTTGTGGCCGCTACGCACGGGTAAGACGGGGTGGAACAAACCAGCGGGAGGAAGAATGTCGACAGTGGCTAGACCAAAATAAGAATCCAGGGACTGGTCAGCGGGCTGTGTGATGATCCGCGGATGCCCAATGGGGTAAGGGCAGTTTTTGTTGACCCACGGGTACAGGGAGGTCACATCCACATAGCGTATTTCTTCACCTTCTCCAGCCACAGCATGTAGAGCCACCGCACCGGTTCGACCCCCAAAAAAGGCTTGACGGGGTTCCAGGGGTGCCACCAAATCGAAAGAAGTCAGGAAATGTTGAACAACTTCATCCGTGTCCACTAATTGGTCCCATTCACATTCCCACATTTCAATGACTGTATAACCCGCTCGGAGCAATACCATGCGTTTGGAGAGCGTGGCTTGATAGAGTTCCTCCACGGTTCGATCCGGCGTGGCATAATGTTTGGCGTTTCTCGCGGGATAACAGCGTGGACAGCCGTGGTAGAGACACCCGTGAAACTCGTAGACGGTGCGAGTCACAGGATCGTAGCCATCGACGAAATGAAAATAGGCACTGGTTCGGACCGACTGTTCGCCCCCATTACGAACGTGACGTATGCGATCGGCACTGGCCCCCTCTTTGGGAATAAGGTGTTCTTGGTAATAGAGCCATTGCAAGGCCTTGAGGGAATGGTTGACTTGGGCCCCTCGCCATCCTCCGAGAGGTTCCACGGCAATGGTGTCGGGGGTCAAATGATGCTTGCGCCAATACAAGTTGCAGGCACTGGCAATGGTGATACACTTGGCCATGGGGTTGAAACCAGCTTGCTGTTCAAATTCTTGTTGAAAGGCTTCACACCCAGCTTTCAATAGAGCCACATCCGATTTGCAATACTCAATCATTTCTTGCTGGAAATGGAAGGGCACATTTCGACGGACTTGATCGGCGTGCCAACGAGTCAGTTCGTCTTTTTTTTTAGCCATCATACCCTCAGGATCGTAAAATTCCAGATCAGGGATGCGACCCACATACTGTTGGTGATCGGGGGTATTGAACAAATGAGGAAAGAAGCCCTTCTTTAATTCGGTTAAATTGAAGGTACTGGAAAAGGAGGCCAGCGGCATAGGCAAGAAACATAACGAGTCAATGAATTTGATAGGTCCACTCCTGAACGATAGGACTTTGGCTCCCACGGTCAGTTGATCCACCACCTCGCGTTGTTGCTGGTAGAGTTCATGGAGAATGAACATGCCATCGAAGCCTTTCAAATTGTGAAATACCACGAGAATCTCCCGCTCGCCTTCACAGTCTGGAACATCCGTGAGATCATCTAAATCGCGCAAAAATTGTAGGGCACAGTCCTCCCCGTCCAACACATGGATGGTCGTTTCGGCACTGGACGAATAACATAACAAATTGGCTACAAACACACCTTCTGCATTCTGCATGGCTTCAAAATCCGCGTAAACAAACAGGGGAGGGGGTGGCGCCACCATGCTACCTCCCCCCTCCTCTGTGGGTTCAGTCTCCTCGCGTTCCACCACGGGCTGAATGTAACATTTATGGTCCTGGATGGGCACCCATTCCTGACACGCGGGACATTTGGCATACCCGCACCGGTGACGTTGGTTGCGGACGACCGTGTATTGAGCTTGACACTTGAGACACGTTTTGATGGATTGACATTGGGCACTGACTTCATGATAACGTTTACATTGACCGCCGTAAAACTTGCGGTGACATAGACTGCAATACTCGGTGGGGCGGGTGCCCCGCACATAATCCGGACAATCAAAGCGTCCACACGCCGAGCAGCGTCTTCCTTGACAAGTGTGATTGGTTCGGTCGTTAGTGTTGAACCCTCGTTCACAGTCCAGGCAATAATAAGAGCGGTTGACAAAAGCGGGAAAAGACGTGCAGCCATCAAAATGATCGTTGGATTTGAGTAAACGAATCTGATGAGGGGCAGTGGGGCCTTTGAAGATTAAAAAGAACGGTTTCATCCGGGTCATCACCAAGAGTTGATATTGAGACCCCAACGCGTGTTGAAATTGACGAAGCTCGGGTATACCACAGGGACCCTCAGCGACTCCCGCTTGCTGATGGAGGGCCTGGGCTTGACGTTGCTGCACAGGACGACCACGTTTGAGATTGTCCCAGTCGCGAAACCCGTCCACGCCTTGATCTTTATGGCAATGAGCACGCATGGTGACAATGGCACGGGCACAGCATAGGGTATCTCTGTTTTTGATGGGGATGATGCATTGCTTTTTCTTGTTGACTCGATCCAGGCATAATCGTCCCACATTGCGTTGTTTATGTCGACCAGACCCCGGGCCGGGCATGGAGACAAACACCACATCCACTTGGAACCCGCGATCGGGGTTGAAGGCTTCATTGCTATTCAACTTGCCAGCTAGGGTAGCCAACATCTCATCCAATCGAGCGGTGCGTTGTAAAAATTCCCCCACGGTGAAATTAGCGGTTTGATACGCGTGGGTGAATCCATGCGCTGTGATAGCAAAGTTCACAAAATGATGGGCGGGCCGCTGCTCACGGCCGAGTTCCGTTTCAATGGCTTGATGCAAGGCTTCCGTCAATGCCAGGCCAATATTATCCCCAGGACCAGGATCCCTCAATTGACGCAATTGCGCGTTGAATTGCGCCCGTTCCACCACATTGCGCCAGCGGCGTCGTCGACCAATAGGTTGCATGGTGAATTGAAAGAGAGGGCCTCGGGCGGGAGCAGCCCCTCCCAATTGTTCCCACCGGTCATAGGCGCGGTTCAACAGAGCATCCTCCTCGTCACTGTCATCATACCAGCTGTCCTCCTCCGCCATGAAGGAGGAAACCAATTTGAATGTCCCGCGCCAGACGCTGGCTTTTATAGACCCAAAAACACGTGATCAGACCAACGGGGATTGGCGGATGAGGCTCAGGTGAGAGTCAGGTGAGGGGTTGAATAGACAAGAGGAAGATTAAGGGGGGTGCCCCCCATGGGTACAGACTTCTCCAGTCTCCGCGGAGCCTGGTGCGAGATCGGTGATTGGTGGAAAGATGGCTAGATATAGACCCTCGTCCAGACCAGACGTCAGTTGCCATCGAGACATGCCTAATCGAGATCCAGAGAAAGTGAAAGAGGCTAAACACCGGTGGTACCTGAAACACCGGGAAGAGATTGTGAAACGGAAACGAGAGCAGCGGGCGGCCAAGAAAAAGCTCAAACCGCCCAAGCCGCCCAAACCGCCCCCGACCTCAGAACAGCTTGCCAAAGCCCGAGAATTGAACCGGTTGGCCTGTAACCGGTACCGAGCCACGCACGGAGACCAAGTACGGGCGCTGAACCGTCAATATTATCATCGACACCGCGACCGGCTTATCCAGCAGCAACGGGACCGTCGTGCCCAGAACAGACAGACGCCCAGTCCCTTTAGAAAATTGCGGGCCTTGGCAGACGTGTGTGCTTCGCGTGTATTAGAGCTGGATCATGGATACGCCAGGATCGCGCCAGCCCCCCAGAAAAAAACGGGACCCTGTGAAAAATAAACAACAACAAAAGCAGTATCGGCAGCGCTTGTACGCGGCCGTGAATGGCATCGAGGACGTGAAGGCTCTCCACCGTCGACGCTACCACGAGCGGATGGCTCGTATGAAAGCCAGTGGAGAGTATGAGGCCTTCAAGGCCAAAAAGACCGAGGAGGGGATGCGGCGCTATCATGGCATGACGGAGGAGCAACGGGCTGAAGTGAAACGCAAAAACAACCAGTGCCAAAAAAATTGGATACAAAGAATGAAAAAAGAGGGGACGTACGAGGCTTACAAACAGCGTTTGAATACACGGCGGAGGGAGATGGCGGCGGAGAAAAGGCGTATCTTGGGTGAGGAGGGATGGAGAGCCCTGCAAAGTCAACGATACCAGCAGCGGATGGAATCCATTCGGCGCCGAGAATGGTCCTGGTTGGACGAGGCCTTGGAGCATCCCTTTCCCCTCCCGTGGTTGCCCTTAGACTGGGCCGAGCCCGAGCCTGAAGAAGAAAACAAGGTACAAACCCTTCGCGCTGAGGCGTTGCAACACATGGACATGTACTTGTAAGAACGAAAATGAAGTTTAATTAAATCATGTGTATTGTGCAATTGAACATGTTGTCTTTTTATGACTAAGGGGGTTTACATGCCGAATCGGAGTTTGGCTTTCATAATGCGTCTAACAATACGCTCTGTTAAGTTTTTGCTGCCAGGGAGTTGATCAATCTTGGCAATCATCTTGCGATCCGCTGCCCATTTGTCTTTCAACGTCTTGGCTTTATCATAATCGATGTCATGGGCTTTGGCAATCCTGTCCAATCGGTTGATGCCGGGATCCCCACGGGCCAATCGTTTCTTTAAATGGGTGCCAGGTCCCATGTACTGATAACCGGGCCAATGAAATTCAATGCCGGTCTTGTTGAGGAGGTTTTGCACATCAAATAACTTGCCGCCCCGTTGCGAGCGTCGTCGCCGTTTCGCTCGGGAACGGGATGAAGCACGACGTTTCCGTCCCATATTAGGGGGTTTTCCACGATTTCCAATCCAAGGCTTTCTTGGCCCAACCAGCGGCTTTCTTTTTGGCGATGCCCGCAGCTTTCTTTTTGGCACTGTCCGCGGCTCTTTTGCGAATCCCGCGCTTAAATGATTGCGTAATGGTATCTGCACGTTCTTTAGGGGTTTCCCACGGGGCTGTTCCAGGCGCCTCGGAAAAGGGCAACTCGTCCGCCAATTCTTCACTGCTCAACGGGGTCGTGAACTTGAGTTTCTTTTTAGCACTAGGGGTGAACCTTGGTTTAGGCGGGACAGGGGGTTTTCTGGGTCCACCAGTCGGGGTGCCTTGTTTTATACCCTGGGTGGCCTTGACCAATTGCGTAAACCAGGCTTGCATGGGGCCCGCCTCAAAATCATCATCGCCCGGCGTCGTGGCTCCTGCGGCACTCACACCCCCAGCTGGGGCTCCAAACGGTTGGCGCACTTTTTTGGTCCAATGGCGTAATTGACGGCTGACGGCTTTGAGTTGAGGCCGTTTCCATGCATCAGGGGCATCACTGGTCAGGAGGACATGTTGTTTGGCGGCCAAATCGGCGGCTTTGGTCAAGCGAGTATCTTCCACCAATTCTTGTTTGTACTGGTCTCGTAATTGTAAAAAAGCCGGGGCGTTGTTCACCGTGGTGCTCACCATCTCGGGTTCCATGGTGCAACTGAGGGGTCGGGTCTAGCGCATGCAACGTTTATAACATCGGTAGAGTTCGGGCCAGAGGGCACCTCCTTTTTGAGCCATCATGATGGCGCGTCGTCGTTTGACGGAATGGGCGGGTTTGGCCATAGCGCGTAAACTCTGGGCGTGAGGTTTGAGCAACGTAATGGTCTGTCGGGAACGGGGCACCGTGCCACGCAGCGTGTTCATCACCAATTCACTGACCGCATTGATCTGATCCGCATTGGCCATCCGCAACAATTCTTGGCGTTTGTGTTGATTGGCTTCTTGTAAGACACTTTTCAAGAACGGGGCTTGACGTTCCATGCGCCACCCCATGATGAATCTTGAGTTCAGGCAGGGACCAAGGTCTATTTATGGTAAAAATGGCGCCACACCGACCACACAATTCGCCATGATAATGCCGTTGCATGTGATGTCGACACCGTGCACACAAAGCCGCTTCATACTGGTCGTCCCAATCCAACGCAAACGTGACGGCTTTGCGTTGAGGGCGATGAGGGTTAGTCTGGGCGTCGTAGACGGATTCTGGGTTTGTATTTCCTGAGCCACAAAGGCGAGAGAGCCATTGCCAAAAGCGGGAGCTTAGCGCCGCGTTGCAAACCACGTCGTCGGCGTCGTTTTCGAGGGACATAACGATGTCGGCGACCGTTGGGTCCACGGACCATCCTTAATGGGAATCGTGTGTCCAACCAAGCGTTTCTTTTATAGCCTTTTCAGCGTTTCAAAGCCGCCCCAACCCGGCATTCGATTAAACATCCGCTGGACCCGTCTTTTATTGGCTGCCATTTGCGCTGCACTGATCTTTTTTTTTTTTTTCTTTTTCTTCATGAGGACGGCGGCAGCCACAGCCGCGGGGATGAGAAGTGGGAGAATACCCCCTCGTTGTTTTCGGCGTCGTTTTCGTCGTCGTGGACCACAGTGCATGATGATCTGTCCAATGGAGGACGCGCCTCTAACCTTTTATACTCTTTTTTTTTCACATAATCGAGCAATTGAACGATTCCCCCGCATATTTTTTCCGTTGCCTGAAGCCACTTCCCGTCGACGTTTTTCGCCAATGGCGATGGCCCGTTTGGTTTGATGATCCCCGATGGCTTTGGTGATTCCATAACCGGCTTTGAGAATGCCCATAGGCAGACTGGCCGCGACACCCCCCACTTGACTCACACGCCGTCGTCGTTTGGCGGGTCGCCGTCGTGTCGTCCTGCGTTGGCGTTTGCGTCGAGGACCCATCGCATTTTTTGGGACGATGGAAGAAAAGTCACGGTTTTTATACCTTTTTAGGAAGAACTGCCTCCTCGTCCACGGGCTCGACCCCGTCCGCGTGCTCGGCCACGGCCACGGCCCCGTCCTCGACGTGATGGTCTGGGTGGACTTGGGCTGGAGGTTCGGGTGGACGTGCGGCGCACCGAGGGACGACCCCCCTCTTCATACACGGTCGTCACAGTATTGGTGTGCGTGATGTTGCGAATCCGTCGTCCTCGTGCCCGTTCTTGAGCATCTTCATTGAGCAAATCCAACCGTCGCCTTAACCCTCGCCGTCGATCGTCATCATCATCGCCATCCTCATCATCGGACGGAGGGGACGAACCAGGGGATGGTGGGGAGGGCACCCTGGGGCGCCGTCGCGGTTGTTTGGCGGCGATGGTGGGGCGTCCAGTGGGGGTCGTCACCGTGGAGGTGGTAGTCCTGGTCCCTGCCCCGGCACTGCGGCGGCTGGTGGAGGGGCGGGAAGGGGCGGTGGTGGTCGTGGCGGTAGTGGCGGGGCGTGTTCGAGTGGACGTGACGGGTCGTGGTCGACTGGTGGGGCGAGTTCGGGTTGGGGCAGCTGTGGTGGTAGTGATGGTGGGTGGTACCGTGGTGGTGGCGGGGGCAGTGCCCGTGCCTGCCACGGGCGGGAGCGTGAATGCATTCAAGGCATCGTCTACATTGACCGGGTAAGTCAAATTGAAATCGTCAATGTCTTGCTCCAATTGGACTCGATCCACGGGTCGAGACAATTCGGCCACCATGTCTGTCATGCTGCTGAGATCCCGGAGGACCGAGGGGGAGCCCACCCCCGCGGGCGAGTGTGTGTCCATGCGAGCGGCTAACTCAGTATGTTGTCCGCCTTCTCTTTGCCGGCGGACCCTGGCGAGTTCTCGTTGCAGGGCGTTGTCGAACGGCAGGGACATCCGCACGCAAGGTGTGAACTTGCGCTTTGCCTTCTCGAGGCGTTAAATGACTCCACAGGCGGTAGCGATCATCCGACGCCGGATGTACATCCAACATCAAATAGCCAAAGGGGCGGGACGTGATGCGTTTAAATAGGCGCAAGACTTGACGCCACCGATCCGGAAAGGCTTGCAATAAAATCGTCCGTATCCCTGTTTGATCCCGGGGGTTTTTGAACGCCACAATGTAATGCGCGTTGCGATTGATGGTCTTGGAAAATTTACCCGGCGGGAATAAATCTTGCGTCAAATACAGCACCGTGATGTTGCGATGATGCGAATCTTTGGTGAACAAATCCAACACGCGCTTGTCTTGTCCCCCTTCTTCCATCAGGTCGTCCAAGACCAGCACCCCGCCGCGTGTCCGACCAAACCATTGCGTCAAATGACGAGGGTCCGGTAATCCGCGATGAAACTGAATCCCCTCCTTTTGCATACGCTCAAATCGGGGTTGCCAGCGATCATAGGCATACACAATCTTGCGGGGTTTGACTTGAAAGACGTTCAGGTACCGTAACCATTGTTCCACTAATTCACTCTTGCCACTACCCGACGGGCCGGCGATGATCACACTGCTGGGTTGTCGGATCATGATTCCCACGGTCGAGGGTGACGTCGATAATGACCGGTGGCCCCTTTAGCACCCATGCGTTTATACCGTTTGTCCCGTCCCAATTGGTCACCGATTTTATAGGCTTTGGCCAGCACGCTCATGATGCCTCGTCCGTTTTGGCGAAAGCGGGGTCGTCGGGTGCGCTGTCGTCGTCGTCGTCGTCTGGGCATGCTGTCCAATACTCACGGTATAAGCGGGGCGATTCGGACTGGATCAGTCCTTCCATGGTTTCTCTTAAATACGTTTCGCTCATACTGTCCATATACTGTTTGAGGGAGACCCAATCTTGGTCTTGTGCCAATTGTCGAGCCACTAACCAATGATACCCATCCCAGGCATCGATGCCTCGCACCGTATTGACCTTTTCGATGGGGTGTTCCCACCAATACAAGGTTTCTTCGAGAATGAACGCATCCACCACCCGCTGGACATCGGCTCGCGTAATCATGATGAACTACAATGACCACTCGTGGACCACACATTTCGTTTTATGGGTTTTTTATTCAACACTCACAATGATTACAAGTGATAAAGGCCTGACGGCTCACATTCTTTTGCCCCCCGTCGGGTCGGGCATCGACTTCATCTTGCAATTCCCGTTTGATCACCCGTTTCAACTGCTCGGCCACTTTTTGATCATTCAACACTAAATTGTCGCAACTCCATTGACTTAAAAATTCTTGATACGACCGTCCTTGCGCCCGGGCTTTCAAGAAAAATAACGCATAATGGCCACAGGTTTGACTATCCAGGGCTTGCAGGGTCTGGTCACTGCGCGTCAGGTACTTCCATTGACCCCACCATTGGTGCAACTCTGGGTTGGTGTACACGTGCAGGGGTAGACCATAACTGTCAAAGATCTCGCACTGGTTCTTTTCTGTCCATAGACCCAACCAATGCTGTCCCGGTTCTCCTGCTGGATCCGTGTTGACAATGTAGGCTTGACGGATACTCGTGGCGGGGGATCGAGGGAGTTGGTCGGCTGGGTGCACCCCATGAAACACGCGTCGTAATTCAGGATCCTCCAAGGCCAGGGTCCGCAACACAGTGTCACTGAGCGCCACAAACTCCATGACTGATGTCTTTTGACTTCTGAGGCCATCTCATCCGTTGATGTTGTATTTTATACCTCCCAGATGATTGATCTCGTACATGTTTTCATACTCGCTCCATACAAATATAGTGACGTTATGACCGACAGCTGCAGCAAAATCAATCACCAGTCGCGTATTGCCCGATTGACGGGGGTTGCGATACTGGGGGTCATCTGCTTTTCCACTGGGTACATTGTTGAACATGAACAACGTGCAGTTCTTGCCTTGTCCCCAATCACCAGGCAGCAGCATGGGGATCTTATCTTCATTGTAAGCACCCATGGCTTGTAGAAATCGATCGTAGCCCAGCAGATCTTCATAGGCTTGGTCTCCAGTCAATTGCAGGGTTCTGTAAGGGTATTCTTCTCCATTCAAGGTCTGTCGTACTTGGGTGACACCAAACTTTTGAAAGGCAAAAGGGTATCTTTCTAGGTCTCCATTGAAGGCATCCGAATGCAATAATCCGACGATCACTCGATCAGGAAATCGACCCACAAACACATTGTCTTGTTCCCACTGGGTGGTACGCCCATCAAAGGAAAATGTGCGAATTTCGCTTCGTACAACAGGGTAGCGGGCAATCTGTTTGGCAATCTGTCTTTCTTTCTGCAGTCTGACATAGACACTGGCATTCAGGGTCACTTTTCTCATCAACAAGGTGACTTTGATGTCATTGTTGTGGATGGCTGGAATTTTCTTGACGTTTAAGGTGCCTTTGTTAGGGCTGCCCATCAAGTAGATGGTCTTGGGGTTCAGGAAGAGTTCAAAGTCCAACTGAACATTAGGAACCAACAATTTGCCTGTCTTGAGGGGTGGCAAATGGGGACGAACGATAAAGGTGTGCCAATGTTCGGTCAGCAACTTGCTGGTCAGGGTTCGCAAGTCTGCATTGCCACTCCAATTCGCGGCCACGGGGACATCGGAATTGGCGGCTGTGGCTCCTATTTCTGCTGCCACATTGAGCTGATTGATCTATCCTTGGGGGGCTAGTTTGGTGGCTCCTTCTTCTCGGTTGTAATTCAGGAGGGTTTCTAGGTAGGCTCTGTAATGGTAGGTGTTGCTCTGTTCAGTCATGAGGACGCCATTCATGCTCATGGTAATATCTCGAAAGATGGAATGCCCAAAATTGTTGACGCAGTAGACATGTCTGGTTTCGTTGGCATTGGAAATGAGCAGACCAGCATGCAATCCTGTATACCCAGCGGCGGGATCGGTCAGGCGTACTTTGACTTTGAAGCGGAGAGAATTGAGATCGTAATAATCGTCGGAGCCTGGAATGGAGAAGGTGATGGGTTGGATGCCCGTCAAGGCGGGTTGAAACTCCACATCCCGCGAGGCTTCATACCGATAATCCACATCGGGCACGTCAAACAGACTGAGCGACATGATGCGGTCTGTCCACGTTGTTCAACGGCGTCCTCTTTTTATACCCTTTTGTAGTCTGTGCCAATCATGGATGGGAAACGCGGAGGGAAAGGGGCGGTGAGGAAAATCGATTTGGATGCGTTTTTTCAACTTGCTGAAGACATTGCCCCCTTTCTGCTTCTTCTGCTTCCTGGCTTTGGCTTGGTTGGCCCACAACACTTTTCGGAGATCCCCCTTGCCAAACAGCGTGCCCCCTTTCATGCGGCGCAAGGCTTGCTTCACCCTCCAGGGTGCAGGGTTGATCCCATCTGTCGCCGTAGGGAACCCCAAAGGATTATGGCGCCTGCGGGTGAACTTGCCAAAGAGCGTGCCCCCTTTCATGCGGCGCAAGGCTTGCTTCACCCTCCAGGGTTCGGGGTTGATCCGATGCGTCGTATTCATCAGGGGATAGCGCGCCATGGTCGACTTGCCAAAAATCGTGCCCCCCACTTGATACGGCGAAATGAACCGTCCACGGGCACGTTGCCGTCGAACACGATTTTGCGATTTGAGAAAGCCTCCTACACGTACCATTTTTCACAGTCCAAAGATGTCCCGTACACGTTGCGTGGCTCTTTTATAGGTATTTTGGGCGGTCCGTTTGACCTTGTGTTTGCCAGTCGTCCAAGCCATGGCAGGGGCTTTGCGTTTCAAGCCGCGGCTGAGTTGGGCACTTCGATCAGCCCACGTGTCCGCGGCACTCTTGCCACGTTGAATATCTTGCAGTCCCGCTTGAGCTTGCTGCACGATCAGGGGTCCCGCCAGTTTGATCAAGTCTTCGGCCAAGCCTTTGCCCTCTTGCTTGGTGAGCACGGGCGTATGGTACCGCGTTAAACTGCCTCCGCGCATGGTTCACGTCGTGGTGCTTTTTGGACCCACGTGATGTTGGGGTGACTTTTTATAGCTTTTTGAGACCAATGGTCACCAGGGTTTTGCCCGGGGGTAAGGGGGCCAGGGGTCCACTAGTACTGGCAATCTCCACTTCCAAGATATCCAATTGTTGGCCTCGTAGTTTGATCCATTGGTGGTGCAAGGGTTCGGCTGTACTTTCCCCATCGCCGGTTCTCAACAATTGCACTTCCCGTAACAGGGGATACTTGCCACTGCCCACCACGGTGGATTCCACCAGATCCGAATAGACCATGACGGTCCGTCGGCGAGTCCCCACGATCTTCTCAAACGAGGCATCCAGGTTATTCAACCGCCATTCAAACGCCTGGTGCAATCTCACCCACTTCACATTGTCAGCGGTCACGATGAAAAAGGCTCGGCTGGTAAAGTTGACGCCCTCGTACACCTCCCCTTCCCAATTGTAATAGGTTCGATATCGACTCCCGACGGGACCCGTGGTCTCATCATAGGTCTTGACGGGCAAAGAATATTGCATATTTGGCCCCAGCAGATAATCGCTTTGGCTGCTTCCAGTCTTGCCCGTCTTTAGGCGCAGCAAGCCAAACTTGAGTGCAATGTCCACGTTGATGTAAAATTCCACCATGTTGATTTGGTTCGAGTTCAATAATTCCTCTTTGGCAATCGCTTCAATCACCAGACTCTCCCCTGTCCATCTCAGTTGAGGTATACCGTGTTTTTTGACAAACACAATGGGTTTTCGGTCGCGATTCTTGATCAGTTCGCTCCATTGATCTTTCATCGCAGTGTACATGATAAAGTTATGCATGGTTTGCATCACGCGTTGCCAAAACTGACTCCCTGTCGACACGATTTGAGTTGGATTCATGACATCTTCCAATTCGATCATGCCGGTTACCTTGGGGGAATCCACGCTCAAATACCCTGACGTGGCTGGGTCGCCCGTGTCTGTCCATTTGCGCACTATTTGCGGATAGGTGTATCGCACCACTTTGGTATGTGGATCCGCGGCGATGATGGCATTGCTCTGGCCTTGATCCGGGACGGTCAGGGACATCAACGAGGCATGCCAGCCTTCGCCCGGTAAGTTCAGACGTTCGGGCAGACGGACCTTGAAACTGTTGTTGGCATTGTTAGGAAACTCGTCGGTCGGATCACTGACGAGCGTCAAGCGTTTAATCTCACTCATGATGATAGGCGCGTCCCTCAGGGTGCAGGGTCCTTTTATAGCCAAGTCGCCACTTTCTGTTTACTGCGAGGGACGTGTCCCACCACTGAATTGAAGGTCGATTGTTTGGGATGAAAACATACTTGCTGGGCAATGTTGGGAAAAGCCCGGGCCAGTTCCATCAGGGTCATGCAGGTCTTTTGTTTAGGGGGTTTCTTCTTGCGCATGGGTGGATGACGACCGGCGCGTCGACGTTGTTGTTTTTTCTTGGGTGGGGACCGTAGAGCCCCTCGTTGCTTGGCATACTCTTCGGCTCGATGGTAAGCATTGGCGTAGGCCCATTGCTGTTTGGTGGGACTGGCCAACTTTTCCCACCACGGTTGGGTTTGCCGTTGTTCCGCGGCTTTTTTCTGGATAAAGTTCATAATGTCCGCGTCCGTGGTAGGGGCATCACTGGCATCATCGAGAAACTGCACCCGCTTTTTTCTTTTTCGAGGCGTTAGTTTGACGCGGACCATGTTGCGCGGGAATCCAACTATCGTACTTGGCCGGCCACCCTTTCCACCGGACCAAGATCTGACGTCCTTTCCGTTTCAAGACTTTTTCGATTCGAAACAATGAATCGTCCGACACTTGGACTTTTTGCACATCGGGTTCGTAAAACGTGCCTTTTATAGGGGTGCCGTCCCATTCACTGAGCTGATAGGTGACCACAGGATGACGACGCACATGCGTGACCACAAACACTTCTTCCGTCCAGCCCGGCAAATACCCTTTTTTGAAGGGACGATGTTTCTTGTTGAGACGCACCCGATCCCCCACGCGACATTTGGGTGGGGGGATCTTTTGCTTCAACCGTGATCCATAGAGTCGATCCCATACCTCGGACTCGTTTCGAAAGGTGACTTGATGCGGCGCCATCCCAATGCTGCGATGATACGCGTGATTGTAGGTATGAATCAAGGGTTGCAAGACGTCCACGTACCGTAACGTATTGTGCGCGGTGAAATACCGGTACATGCGTTGTTTCAAGGTGCGATGCCATCGTTCCACCACCGAGGCCTTGCTATCCCCATACGTGTAAAAATGATGCCAGTCGTGTTTCTTGAACCAGGCTTGGACCTTTCGATTCAAAAATTCTTGGCCTTGATCCGTTTGTACACGGAGGGGTCGTCGTGGGGAGGCTCGTCGACGTATCGCGTCCAACCCTCGGATCATGTCGGTGGCACTCTTGGATTTGATGGGGACGGCCCAGGCATACTTGGACAGGACATCGATCACCGTCAACAAATATTTGTGGCCTTGGTTCCACCGACTGAGTTTTTGCATGTCCACTAAATCCATCTGCCATTGTTCGTCTCGGCCAAAGACCAACGTGGGGGTGGTGGGAAACCGTGTCCGTCGGGGTTTGTGGAGCGTATAGCTCAACACGGATTGAAGAATCTGTTGCGCGTGCGGGGTTTTCAATTTATGGGCTCGGGCAAAGGGTTGGACCCCACCCAAGGCCCCAGGTGCTTGGGGATCTTCGTAAGCGCGTGGCAACGACATCAAGACACTGACACACATTCTGAGTCCAATTCTGTCTTTTAATAGTTTTTTCACAAACACCTACATGTTCAAAACAAGCACGAGCTCCCAAAGTTCTTATGCAAATGGCGCCTTCTCTCAAACGCATTCTCCTGGGCTTGGATAGACTCGCCAAACTGTTTCAACCATGGATCACGGCTCATCTTTTCTAAATCTAGATTTGCGTCATGGTGTATCCCCCAGGGTCGGGGTTGCTCTTTTTCTGGACCTTTCAAAAGAGGGACAGGACAATCCCTGACCCATCGTCTCAGGATCGGCTGCGCTTGCTCTCGGGGACGCCATAGGGGACCATGGAGCCATTGAAAGTAGCCACAGGGTTTGGCATGCGTGAGAAAGCTCCCACAACTGAAAAACACTTTGTTGTGATTCTTGGCGGTGCGACTCAATTTCATCTTGGGGACAAACCCACACTTGCACTTGAGTTCTCCATGTTTCACACGGGCATGGACTTGAGGATGCGTGTCTTTTTTCAAGGCCTCCATCATCACCTCTCGCGTGTCTTCAAACAAATACACGGGACACCCTTCTTGGGGACACTTGAACCGCAAGGGACCAAAACTAGCTTGGGGGTTGACACATGTAATGAATTGATGGGGATGAAACGGGCATGCTTCATACAGGAGTTGGTTGAACTGGGTGTCCATCTGGTCCAGGATTTCCCATTCCCCCACTTCTGTCGCGGGATCTGAATGAAACGTCCCTT